AGTAGAGGGCACAAGACTTTAATAATAAATAACTTTAATATCTTGATTTTTATTGTGAGTCTGGCACTTGTCCTTGCAGATCTAACTTAATTTATATTTTCTCTCTTTCTCTGTTGGATCATACTTTCAGTTGTTGCTATTCTATTATTATGCTTTGTATAGGAAAAGTGCTATTTTTGGTTGCTGTCACTATTAGCTTTCACTAACTATTATGCTCTGTTTCATAATGATATTGACTGAGTGTTATGATCACATTGTTGACCTTGTGCACCTTGTTCACACCTTAAAGTGTAAACAAGGTGTCAAATACAATTTCCTCTTTATCATGTAGAATAATATTTACTAAACTGCTCAGCTAAACAGAGCAACTCTATGAAGACTGGGAGGAGATAATAAAGCCACTCCTCAACAATTAATGAACAATGATGATTTCATTTCTGTTTGCTGCTACAATATTGTGTCAATTTCTTGCTCCTGCTGCTGGTATATGAATAAGAGGATAATAATATGAATCTTACATTATATAGGTATATTTACTATTGTACCAGTGACACTGTATGTATATGTCAATCATACCGTGACATTTGAATGTGCCGGATTCATTGGGACTGGATTTACTCTCTCATTCTTGTATGGAACTGATGTAATGGCAACTGAAACTGATTTACCTAATGGAGGAAAGAGGACAACATTTATTGCTACTAGTGAAGTGAATGGTACTGACATTTTTTGCTTGGCTCGTATGGGAATCATGATAAATTCTACTGAAGCAGCTTACATTTATATTCAAGGTATTATGTTCATTTATTTTAACATCATTTAAAATCTATCATTGGCAGGCCCTCCTGATAGTGTCAGTAATTTAACAGGATATCAGTTAGATTCTTGTTGTATGTTACTCAGTTGGTATCCTCCATTCACACTACCAGGACTAACAGTACAGTATATAATCAGTGTAGGAACTGATCAACAGTACCTTAATGACTCTATCACTAACTACACTTACTGTCCAATGAACCCAACCAATAAACAATATCTGTTTAACATTACAACTACTAATAAAGCTGGGAATGGATCTACTAATAACGTGTCTATTGAATTTCAAACAAGTAATTTAAATATATTCCAGTTGCACCAGTCAAGAGTTGTAAAGTCACTGTTCACACTATATTCTCTGGTCCCATTATTATTATACCAGAAACAAATTTTATAACTATTTTGTTGATAGGTTCAGAGTTCCTGAGCATTTACCAAGAAACTTTTACACATCAAATGAACAATGATTGGAGTTTATCTTTCATTATATCAGTTAGTATAATATCTTCATAGCTGCATGTGTCTATAATACATACATTATATGCAGAGCAGCTTGTGTCACGTGTCACTTGCTAATATTACAGTAACAAGTTGTACTGTTGATAATTCTAGTATTTGCTATTCATCAACAGCAGTGTCTATCATTAATATCTCATACAATAACATTTCCCTTGCTGCTATTATCAGTCTTCCCTCAAGAGAGATACTGGATACTACTGTTATGATACATTATCAAAATAAAGCAAATTTTCACAGCAATACTATCAGAATCAGTTAGTGCATGTATGTATTGACCATAAGTATCTTATTGATGTTTAGGCACTTATGATCTTCAGCAACTAACATTGATTAATACTTCATTTAATGAGGTCTGCTTGGAGTTTAATTTTGTTACTGGCAGCACAACTAGCAGTATTTACATTTATATCTGTGGTTATGAAGACTCATATTCTCAACTAGAGTATTACAGTATATCTCATAATGATCGATTCAACTTTATTCAGTGCATTACTAACATACCAGCAGGTAACAACTTAACACTGCAGGTAATGGAGGACTGTACTCCTAATCCTTCTGCTGTATTAACTGGTATCAATATTAGTGAAGCTGCTATAGTCTGTAGTAATACTTTTACACAGAACACAATGAGCTCAGTAGCTTCATATGAAGACTCCTTTTCTCCAAGCAGTTCAGAATTGCTTTATTCTACCTCAGCAATTGCATCAGTTTCTTCTACAACTGCTATACCGGTAGATGATTGCACTAAGTGTACAATGGAAAGTCAAAATGATGTTCTTGTCACTAGTAGTAAGTTGCAATTGCAATGATTATCATTCTTTACTATTGGCTGTTTACTGTACAGCAGTATTGATTAGTCTATTAGGATTATTCCTCATCCTATCACTAGTACTCCATGCTGTTA